CCCCCCCCCCCCCCCCCAAAAAAAAAAAAAAAAAAACCCAAAAAGAGGGAGTTACGTCCATAGGCTGAGGCATCGCATAACCACACATTTCTCAAACTTTTGTCAACTGTGTTGTTTTGGTTTCTGACTGGTGTATGTGTTCTTGCGCAGATGACATGGATATTCCTCAACCAAATCCAGAAACTGCAGAAGTCGGTTGGATTGTAGTTTTATCAGATATTTCCTTGGGAGTTGACCTCTTGTCATAATAATATTTTGTCTGGTGTATTTGCTGCTGCTTTTGGCAACTTCACAGCCTCAAATCAAATGACGCTTCATACATTTTTGCAGTGACTGATTGAATTATTGTACCAAGAAAATCCTCGAAATATTTTGGGATAGGACTGAATTTGGAGTTTTACATATTTTCTGCTAAAGGACTTTCGGGAGAGATAATTATTTGGAAATTCTGCGGAAAATTGGTCAAGCAAATAATACATGTACTTTGAACTACCGCTCTATGACCGGGTCGATTTTTTCTGATCGATTTTGATGAATTTTTATTTGTATTTTGTTTGGCGTATTTTTTGGGTTGTGAGCAAAGTTTGATTGGACTTGGACTTGAAATTTAAACACTTACGATCTTATTTATTTGAACTAATATGAGATTTTAAAATTTTGATTTCTAGGACCTATAATCCTAGTTAAATATTATTCTGAGTAACGAGGAGCTGGTGATAAGGAATTGGGACCAAGAGTCCTAATTTAATTCTACCTCAAACTTCTAGGTCTTGGTGATGAGGTTGAGCCAATATCTAGAGTTTGGGGTTTTTTGGGACACATCTCTCGTATCACTATAAATAAAATCCTCAGCGTACTAGGTAATTCATTTATTCTGAGTCTATTCAATTTTCATTATATTTTTGACCGCTTTCGGCCATCGATTAACGTAGGTGTCTCTTGTCTTACAAGTTACACAAGGCTTCCTTATCGCCGTCTGTTCAAGGTGGTGATTCATAGTCCAAAATTATCCTTGTCGTCTGTTCAAGGTGGTGATTCATAGTCCAAAATTATCCTTGCACAATGATAGCTGTTTTCCCTCAAAGGTATAATAGTGTGTAGAAAGCTGAGCATGTTGAAGCCATGGCAACATCCATTTCTTTACAGTTTGCTATTGATTTATGCATGCGTAGAGCGTTACTGGAAGGGGATTCAAAACTGTAATTGAATCAATATGTTGTAGACTGGAGAATCTCTCGAAAATTGTTAATTTTGTGGATCATATTCTCTCATGTGCTCAAATGTTCGAAAAATTTTCTACCTCTTGGGTTGGGAGATCTGGGAATAATGTAGCTCATATTCTAGCAATGAATGCTAAGAATTGTAATCAAAGTTGTTTGTGGAGGGGAGAAGCTCTATATTTCATGTTACCTCCCTCTTTTCTTATGTATCTACTTCATAATATCAATGAAAGTTATCATTTCTTATCAACGGAAAAAAAAAGTGCAGCCTTAGATAATTAATCACATATATAGTATACTTAAATCAGATCAAATTTTAATCAGGTTGGATGAGAATATATCCAAATCCATTTTTAGAAATCTAAATGGAATCGAATGAGATCAGATAATCGAACTAAAATTTTATTCCATATTCAGATAAATGAGTTCAGATCAGATCTGGATCAAAACCAGTTCATTGAAAAGCCTTCTTACAATGATTTTTTTTTTTTTTTCTCAAAATTGAAAATCTTGAAAGCTTTAGGTATCGTTTGGGAATGTGTTATAATTCCACATTAGTTACTATATGAGACTAGATGTTTATATACGCATTTTTGGACACCTTTACCTTGCAAGTCGATTTTTAGGGGTAAATTTTATCTATAGATTCATAACAATTGGTACCAGAGCCAAATATGGATGCCCAACGAGTTAGTCAACTTGAAGCAAAAATTCACTCGTTTAGTGTCAGACAAGAAACGATGATGAAAGAGATGCGGGAGATGTTTCTCAACATAAACTCTCGCTTTGATCAATTAGTGGGCGACCAAGGCCATCGCCATGAGCAAGGGGCAACCCAGCGGAATGGAGAAGACTCGAAGTTGATAATTGCTAAGAGCACGGAGGAAATCATCCAGTTCTGGAAGATGTGAGTGAAGACGATGACAAAAAAAGGTATCATTCATTGTCATTATCTGAATACAATCACCAACTGTATTGCTTCAAAGATTGAGGAAACATCAAGCTCTACTTCTATTGAGATCACACAGTTCCTTCATGTTTATAATATGGGATTTCATAGTGCCTTATTTCTGGTTCTCTCTTCCACGAAAACGTGGGATCCCGGCTGAATTTATCATGTATCTTTTTATGTAATGTGACCTTGAGTACGTTGTCATATCTAAAGGGGGTGAAATGTATGTGCTTATCTTTTTTTTTTTTTTTATGTAATATTAGACCATATCCAATGGAAACTCAAATCGTTACTCAAATTTGAGTTAAAAAAAGAGAGGTAAAAACATAGTTTGTTATAAACATCTCCAATGAAGAAATCCAAATTTAAATGAAGAGAAACCCAAATTTAAAAGAGGGTATAATATGACTGTTGGATATTTAAATGAGGGAGTAATCTCACCATTAAAGACTTGAGTTTAAAAAAAAATCTCCATTGATTTAGGTTTAAAAAAGGTTTTCCCTTCATTTGGTATGGGTATGAATCTAGCATTGGAGAAATATTTTAGACTATTTTTCTCCAAATTTAAATTTGGGTACAAAAAAAAAGTACGAGTTGGAGATGCTCTTAGATTTAGTTAATAGGTGGATTAGTGGATTTTCCTTTTTGTTATTTAGATAGTGGAGTTATGGATTAAATTGGTTGAGTGTATTTTATATTTAAAGACCTAATTATCAATTAAATGGATATGTTGGATTTGTGTTAAACTTTCTTGTGAAAGATTATGGAAGTTGGGTTTGCTCGAAGTGAACCATCGAAAGTTTTCACTCCCTTCGAAACATATCTCTCTTTCTTCTAATTCTATATTTATTTTATTTTACAAAACTTCTAAAATTGTGCATGTAAGAATTGATATTAGAGTCAGCCACCACATTGAGAATGAAATCGAATGCAATATGGACTGCAACTCTCTAGGGTTGAGTAACGTAATGACGATCTATAAGTTGGATTAAGATATTTTGGTAGTTTGTAAGGACATAATGCTATCTCATTGAATATTAATAGGTGAACCGCCAAAGAGAAATATCTAATGTTAGATTAGTGTCGATAGAGTAGGTTACTATAAATGTCGGCTATAGAAGCGTGGTGGGCTGCTACAATCTCACATCAATTAAATATGAAACTAGATGCATGCATAAAAACTCTTAAACACTTTTTCCTTGTAAGCCGATTTTCATAGGGCAAATTCTACACATGAATTCATAATATAATGTTTCAAAAAAGTACTTTTGCTTTCCTTTTTTAAAACTTTTTAGGGAATTTTTTAATCAGCATTTTGTTTCTACATTTTTGACCTTTTCATTTCTCCTTCAAACTTACTCTTTTCCTCTAACTATAAACACATATAATATATATGTATATAAACAATATAATTTATATACTAACTGAATTTAGATAACTTTTACGAAATAGTAATTGATTAATTATATTTTTTTTGATGAATTTTTTTTTGTTAAAAAAATTACTTAGAAAAGCATTATGAAACGGTACCTTCAAGTTTTATTGTTAGCGTTCACGTCAAAATCATTGTAATACAAAATATTACTTAGGTATGACATCTTAAAAGATGAGAGATTTGAGATTCAAAACTCATCTAAAAAAAAGGCTATTAAATATGATAGTGCTCGAAATTAATTAGCCTAGATTGCATAACAGGATTGTATGAAATCCAATATATAGGTGGACGTCGGAGTAGGAGTGTGTGTGTGTGAAGGTAAGTGCTACGAGTAATCAACAAAGTAAATACAAAGTATAAATGTTTCGTCATAGCCGAAAGACTAAGGTTATATCCACTATAAAGGAGACTCTTACTCCTTGGTCCTTATATTATTTGGGGAAACGATGGTTGTTAGAGAGAGTTTGGCTTAAAGCTGTTACAAGGTATTGCTTGATTCTCGCTCTTTCTCACTTATTGGTTGCTCTTAGTTATTTATACTATTGGTAGCTAGGGTTTCACCTTTGTCCTTCTTAGCTAATTCGGTGGTCCCCTCTATGGCTGTCTTCATCGTGGCGTTGTGGTCCGCAAAATATTTCAGAGTCCACTACTTGTAAATTGTTGTACTTGATCCGTCTTCACTACCTATGGGTAGAGGTGTCAAACGTGTCGTGTTAAACGGTTACGTGTCGGATGAAAAATATATAAACCTGTACACGACACGTTTAATAAATGGATAAAAAATTTCAACACAAACACAACCCATTTAATAAACGGGTAACATGACACGACTCATTTAACCCGTTTAATTTAAAAAAAAATTATATTAACAAATTTTAATACTCCACTTTTTTTTATTATCAATTGTACTTACCTTAAAAAAAATGAGTTTTTAATCAAATCTCATAAAAATAAAATTTGAAGGCTTAAAAAAAAAAAAGAGGTCATTGCTTTTTATAAACAACTTAACCCTCTCCATCTTCCCTCATTTTTCAGTGTGGAACAAAAACAAAAGACATTAATTTGCCTTTACTTCTTTTTTTCTTTCTAATTTTTTAAAATAATTATTAATTTATTATTATATTAATTTTATTTAAACGGATAAACGAGTGATAAACAATTTGACAGGTTTCACCCAAATACGACCCGTTTATTAAACGTGTTTGGCGTGTTAACCCATTTATCATAAAAACCCGTTAAAATTTCACTCAAACCCGTTTAATTTGTGTCAATTAATCGTGTCGTAACGAATTTTGACTACTCTACCTATGGGTTTCAGTTTATCAAAACCACAAGACAGTGTTTCTTTATCCCATTGTGTCGCATTATAGGTGTCATTATGTTTAAATATACATAACAACAGAGTGAGAGTGTCAAAGAGCAAGAGGTGAATGAGGAAGACAAAAGAGAGAAGAAAGAAAGAAACATAAACAACATCCATGATCTCGAGAGAGTAAAATAGAATACAGGCAAAAAGAGGAGGAGGAAAGGGGTGTGGGAATTAGAAACATGAAATGGGTTGTTTTAACTAGGAAGTTATTGGTGGCCTTGCGATTGTAAATAGAAATATGTGTACAAAATACGTGTTTAGTTGAGATTGCATTTACTTAAAAGTGTGGCTTCACCCCTGCGCCTTTACTTGAAGCAAATGCATTGAAAACACATTGTTAAAGTCTACAGTACACACACTAGAAAGGAAAAAAAAAACAACTCTGTAAATGGCTCCTTCTCCTCCCTATCATCTTTTACAACCCCATCTCATGTTTTAAACCATTAACCTACTTTTTTTTTTTCTTGTGCTTCTCTGCTATATATCTATTAATTGCTCTTTTCATTTAGTCCCATATTATCTACCTACCTTATTTATGCACAATTGTAATGATCTTTAGCTATAGGTGTGTCTGAAATGTTCTTCCAACAGTATCTGACTCATTCTCCCCTTGCACTCTTCATATAATTTTATACCATTCCTTACATCTTCTCCACTACATTATAGACAAACATTTTCTTCCCAACTCTCAGATAGAAAACACTAGAAAGGGAGTTGAAGCTAATACCAACATCCAAAGAGTTACAAACCTCATAACAGAAGTGAAACATAAATGTGATAAGCTTCAACAGGTTTCCACAGCAACTATGGAAACAAGTGAGAATCTTGATTATCTGAGAGCATGTGCATCTCATGTGATAAAATTTCAAAAAGCTTTCACTCTTGGTAGTAAGCACAATGCGGCTAGGTACTTCCCTATGCCTAGCACGGTTGACAACTCTTATCCATCGCTTTCTGACTACTGGAAGAAAAGAAAATTTAAATACAAATCCATCTGGGCAATCTTCCAAGAGTCAAACACTCTAATCAAATGGAGCTACCCATAAATTTTGAGGGTCAAATGAGAATAAAAAGCCCATGAGACTAAATTCTTTGAACCAACGAAGAAGAATAATAAAATACTGGTTTCCCCTCCAAAATCACTTGCACAAAAAGGGTACATTAATTGGCAATATTGTCTTGTTGGCTACTTCATAGGGAAGAAGCTACCTTTTTCTGTGGTATATATCATAGCTCAATGCTTGTAGCAACTAGGCCTGGCTGAAGTGCTGGCCAACAATAAAAGTTACTTCTTCAGGTTCTCCAATGAAGTTGAATCTGCAAGAATACTAGAGCAGGGTCCCTGGATATTATGTAGAATGCATTTAATCCTCAAGAAATAGCACTCTTGTATGGAGTTGACAAAAGACTCACATTATACAATCCTAGTTTGGATCAATTTATACAATCTACCATTGGAATACTGGACAAAGGAGGGCCTAAGCTATGTAGCAAGTGTTGTGGGGAAGTCTATTATGCTAACTAACTCACTGAAAAAAGGAAAAGAATTTGTTATGCTTACATATGTGTTGAGTTGGACACATCCCATGAACTAGTGACATCTTTTGATCTTCATATATAAGGAACACTCTGGATTTAATCCTATATCAATTGAAGTCACGGTTGAATATCCTTAGAAACCGAAGTTATTTAATCACTGCCAAGTCTTTCGGCACAGTCTAATACACTATCCCAAGAGTCCCCAACAGAATTTGCAGCAGCAAAAATGAGAGGCAGAATGTACCAACAACCAAGATCAGAAAGGGAAACGAAGTGGCTTGAAATATTGTAGCAGTGATATCGAAATTTGATGAACCTCGACTAGCTAGCAAATTTGGCAAAGTTACGTTAATGGAAGAGACAAGCAATACAGAGATTCAGGCTGACCAAGTAATTACTGCTATAGTAGATCAATATGCAACTTCTCACAACGATGAGAAAATTGTACATTTGCACCTTTTCCTGATTGATTCAACAAATTACCTGTAGAGCAGAATGAGGTTAAGCCTGAAGATACTAATCTAATGTTGGTGAGCCTGAAAATAGTGTCACTAGTCAGTCTAGTGATGGAAAAATTAGGGAATGGGTCAGCAACAAAAAGAAGTAGAAGAA